ATTTTATTATGCATCAAAAATAAAGTATAGGAATCAGAATTAAAATTTTTACCTCATCAAGAACAGAGAAAATTGCGGATAAATTAATATATTATAAAATGATCTATAAATCATTATAAAAATACAATTTCATCACCACAAATATTGCATCATCGGAAATATTGCATCATCAGATATATTGCATCTACAGAAATATTACATCATCAGAAATATTGCATCATCATCAGAAATATTGCATCATCAGAAATAATGCATCATCAGATATATTGCATCATCAGATATATTGCATCTACAGAAATATTGCATCATAAGAAATATTGCAACATCATCAGAAATATTGCATCATCAGAAATAATGCATCATCAGATATATTGCATCATCAGATATATTGCATCTACAGAAATATTGCATCATAAGAAATATTGCATCATCAGATATATTGCATCTACAGAAATATTGCATCATAAGAAATATTGCATCATCAGATATATTGCATCTACAGAAATATTGCATCATCAGAAATATTGCATCATAAGAAATATTGCATCATCAGATATATTGCCTCTACAGAAATATTGCATCATCAGAAATATTCCATCATCAGAAATATTGCATCATCAGATAAATTGCATCTACAGATATATTACATCTACAGAAATATTGCATCATAAGAAATATTGCATCATCAGATATATTGCATCATCATCAGAAATATTGCATCATCAGAAATAATGCATCATCAGATATATTGCATCTACAGAAATATTGCATCATCAGAAATATTGCATCATCAGATATATTGCATCTACAGAAATATTGCATCATCAGAAATATTGCATCATCAGATATATTGCATCATCAGAAATATTGCATCATCAGAAATATTGCAGCATCAGAAATATTGCATCATCAGATATATTGCATCATCAGATATATTGCATCATCAGATATATTGCATCTACAGAAATATTGCATCATCAGAAATATTGCATCATCAGAAATATTGCAGCATCAGAAATATTGCATCATCAGAAATATTGCATCATCAGAAATATTGCATCTACAGAAATATTGCATCATCAGAAATATTGCATACTGTTGCCTAGATGAAATAAAAGTATTTGTATATTAATTTGTGTTTATTACTTACACGTCACGGCTGGTGGACTTGGATTGTGTCATGGATTAAATTATCGATATTGAACTGATGGAAGCTGACCACAAGGAAGATTACATCATAGATAACATTATCGTTTGAGTCATAGAAGTATACCATGGATTACGTCATGGATGGCATTATGGATCACATATGGCTTCACTACAGGCCCATCGGTCCTACAGGCCCACAGTCCTACAGGCCCATCGGTTCTACAGGCCCACAGTCCTACTGGCCCATCGGTTCTACAGGCCCACAGTCCTACAGGCCCATAGGTCCTAAAGGCCAAACAGTCCTATAGTATACAGTTAACATAAAGGACAGCAATCGAACGCCGCGCCGATGGAAGTCGTCCACTTATTACGTAATCGAATACTATATAGAAGGGAACTCCGGTACTGTGTCCGCTGTGACCGGTCAGACCAAAGACTAGTTATGACACGTGATGACGTTGAGTAAACCTTATTATTGAGTAACCGATTGTGGGCCATGAAAAAGTAAGCGCTATGATAGGTTAACTCAGATATAGTAATGTCACAAGACACATTGGTCAACTGTTACACTGACCACCTGGTCCACTGACCAAAGTCAGAGGTCGAAGGTCAGAGGTCAGAGGTCAGAGGTCAGAGGTCAGAGGTCAGAGGTCAGAGGTCAGAGGTCAGAGGTCAGAGGTCAGAGGTCAGAGGTCAGAGGTCAGAGGTCAGAGGTCAGAGGTCAGAGGTCAGAGGTCAAGGTCACATTTCCAAAATCAAGGTCACGTCGAAGGTCAAGGTCAAGGTCACATGTCAAAGGTCAAGGTCATCGATAACTGGAAATCGGGTTTTATGTACTGATGCCAATGGTACTTGTTGGAGACCAGTAGGACAAGTGGTTATGGAGATATCAAGGAAAACATGTTTACCAAACAGACCTTAAACTAGACTTTGTACCAATCAGTTGGATATCCGTACGGTAGTATTGTACGGATAGTTTATGCAAGGAACAGCATAAATTAAAACAGTCGGTCGACTAAATACTACACAAATCAACACATATATAACTTTGTACACAACCAGTGATAGGAGATCCGCTCGCTCTTTAAGCCACATACCGATAGATGATAATGCTGGTATGTACAGAGCATCGTAAGGGCTTAGTCTATAAGCAATAGTAAGGTTTACATCAAGGGTTGATGAACACTCATAGAGTGTTCACATAGTAAATATACCCGGGATAACCCCACTTGTCTTACAATATATTTATCTAATATATACAGTATATAAAGAAGTATTTCATTAATTATGTCCGAGCGGTTTTATAAATAACTTTTGATTTGGTAGAGATAAATTATTTCTGTAAAATGTTTATAATTTAGTTCTTTACGCGTGATAATAAGCACTTTTCATTTTTAAATTTAAATCACGTGATCACATTTTTAACGGGATGTTTGCAGACCACTATGTCAAAACCTAATCTATAAATGATAAGATAAAAATTTTATAGCAAATTTGTAAAGCTTAAATTGATAATTTATGGGAAGAAAATTTTTTTGAAATTGGTCAAAGAATAAATTTTCTATGGCTTTTCAAACTTGTGGAAGAACACATTATATAAAATATTCGAAAATAAAATGACGTTATTTATGGATAGTAGACAATTATTAGATAAAGATTTTAATACTATTACTTTTTCTAAAAACAAAATTTTTTTATGTCGAATATTTTTTTAGATAATCAAATTTAAATAAAAATTACATTATCATATTACAATGTTGCGTTTTTTAGTGTAATTTAATTATCTGAAAAAATATTCGACATAAAAAAATTTTGTTTTTAGAAAAAGTAAAAGTAGTAAAATCTTTATCTAATAATTGTCTACTATCCATAAATAACGTCATTTTATTTTCGAATATTTTATATAATGTGTTTTTCCACAAGTTCGAAAAGCCATAGAAAATTTATTCTTTGACCAATTTCAAAAAATTTTCTTCCCATAAATTATCAATTTAAGCTTTACAAATTTGCTATAAAATTTTTATCTTATCATTTATATATTAGGTTTTGACATAGTGGTTTGCAAACATCCCGTTAAAAATGTGATCACGTGATTTAAATTTTAAAATGAAAAGTGGTTATTATCACGCGTAAATAACTAAATTATAAACATTTTACAGAAATAATTTATCTCTACCAAATCAAAAGTTATTTAGAAAACCGCTCGGACATAATTAATGAAATACTTCTTTATATATATTTGTTTAATAGACTTAAAAAATTAATATTTATTAATATTTCTAAAAATAAATAAATAAATAATTATTATTATTATTATTAAATTGTATTTTTATTTATTTAATTTAAAAATAAATGTATTCAATAACTATACTGGCTCAATTATATATGGTATACACTATTATCAGTGAGCGTCAGCTCCGACACAATCGACTGGCCTATCGGACACCATTACCACCGAAACCCCGATACGATTTTATAGTAGTCGGCTCCGGTAGTGCCGGTGCTATTGTCTCGTGTCGACTGTGCCAATGGGGTTGGGATGTGCTACTATTGGAAGCTGGCGGACCACCCGATGCCATATTAGATGATCTACCTGGATCAACAACTAATAGCGATAGCAGTCAATGGCATTATCAGCAATGGCATTACAACCTCCTCGGGCACAGGGAGTCGAATTTATTAAGTCTAATCGTACCCATCATGTATGGACCAAACGTGAAGTCATAGTATCTTGAGGTAATCCTATAGTGTATATAATTTATGCCATTATTATTATTATTATTATGTATATAATAATCAGAGTTCTTTAGGAAATAAATGCATGCCCTGGCAATGCCACAAATAGATGGCATAAATAACCTAGCATCTATTTTATTTGCCTGCCAATATTAAAATTGCAAAAAACAACTGTATGTAAAATTATGTAATATAGTGATTTTTTATTAGCATGGTAATTAAATTTACAAAATTAATATACCTAATTTTGGCAGTGATATTACTTTTACAATTTACAAAAGATAATTACAAACAAATATAACGATAAAACAATGTTTTTTTTATATATATATATATATAATTAAAATATAATTAAAACAAATAATATAAAATTAAAATATTAGGTGACGTCATCATCTGCAAAATAAATGGTCAGGCATTTGTCAAAAAAAAAAATTGGCATCTATTGTTTATGCCTGCCTGACTTATACTTAAAACCCTGTATTCACTAATACATATATTATATATATATTTTTTTTTAATATATTTTTTTAATACATATTTTTTTTAAATGAATAATAGGCATAATAGGCACACCACAGTTGCTTATGCTGTCGGGTGTGGGACCGGCCGGCCATATACAGGACACGGCATTGTTTGATCAGGGAATGGGCCAGTGCCGAAGCACATCCAGTAGGTACCAGTCGTATGGGTGATCCCCAGCGCAGGGATACTGTTGTCGATCCCCGATTGCGTGTCAAAGGTATCCGCGGACTGCGTGTTTCAGATGCATCCGTCTATCCGGAGATAATGAATGCCAATACAAATGCCGGGGCAATGTTGGCCGGGGAGATGGGCGCCCGATTCATACATGAAGATAATCAATAGACTGTATATATATATATATATCAGACATGATAGAAATAGGAAAAGTTATATAAAAAATATTTTTATAAAATATACACCCTATAAAATAACTAAGTTTACCTTATACTCTAGTAGTACTGAAAAATATATAATTGTTGTGTTTAATCAATGCATTGATCCCTACCTAAAATATTTAATCTATTATCTATCACTTATTAATAATTATATGTTAATAATTATGTTTATAAAAAACTGTTATTTAATAATTATCACGAATTCCTGAAAGTAATACGTATATGAAATCTATAAGTCGGTCTGTCGGTCTGTCTGTCCCACGAGGACATAGGTTCGAATCCAGGCTCAGCTACGCTTTTTTTTTGTTTTTTTTATTTTTTTTTATTTTCAAGTATATTTTTAAGCAAAAAAAAAACAAAATGGTGTCCAATAATTAATAAAAAAAAATTTTAATTTTTTTTTGAATTTTTTTTTGAATTTTTTTTTGAATTTTTTTTAAAATTTTTTTTGTTTTTTTTCTTATTTAAGTTTATTTATTAGGAAATTGAAGAAAATGGTGTCCAAAAATTAATTAAAAAAAATTTTGAATTTTTTTTGAATTTTTTTTTGAATTTTTTTGAATATTGATTTTTTATTTTTTTCGTTTTTAAGTTTATTTTTTAGGAAAATAGTAGTTTATTTTGTAATACTGAATAATTTAATACCCCACATGACTATAGTTGTTTATTTTGTCATACTAAATCGTTTGATACCCTACATAACTATAGTTGAGTTTATTTTATCATACTGAATTTAATTTTTAATTATGATTAGGAATTCGTGTGGAAATGCTTTCTAGCATTCTCAACTGGTTTTTGTTATATTTATTTGTTAGATATAATAATTAAATACAATCTTATTATTATTATTATTATTATTATTATTATTATTATTATTATTATTATTATTATTATTATTATTATTATTATTACATTTACATTATTAATATTATATTTATAAATATATTTATAAAAAAAAATTATAATATTATTATAATTTATTATTCATATTATTATTATTATCTTCATGTATGAATCGGGCGCCCATCTCCCCGGCCAACATTGCCGGTGCATTGGTATTGGCATTCATTACCTCGGGATAGACGGACGCATCGCAAACACGAAGTCCGCGTATACCTTTGACACGCAATCTGGGGTCGACTACAGTATCCCTGCGCCGGGGGTCACCCATACGACAGGTACCGACTGGATGAACATGAGTGCCGGCCCATTCCCTGATCAAACAATCAATATAGCTCAAACACTGGTAGACAGGACCAGTGGGACAGTACTGGCACGGAGCTACCGGTTCACTATCCATACGTACAAACTGTCGGAAACTAGTAGTTTCGACAAACTTAAACGTACGGATAACTGCCTCCCGGAGCCTTAATCGATCACTATTGGTAGCTAAATATCGAGGATCAATAATAGGATGATCCCTAATATCCATACTTGAATTTAATCTAACTGTACCGCAACTATTGGGTCTCATTAGGGCAACAATTATTGTTAGATAATCCATTAAAATATTATTATTATTATTATTATTGTCTACTACTAGCATACTAGTAGCAGTAGTAGCTAAATAGATATCTGGGTGATTGATGATATCGACACCATTATCATGGGATGACGACCAATACATTATGGAAAATTGTTGTTCACTTAGCGGACCAGTGGACAGGTAGGTTAGATTGTATAATTGATTTAGATTATCCATGGATATTGGTTGGCCAGCAGCCATACCCGGCTGGGTAATTGGGAAGCCCAGTACTGTACATACGTGATTGCAATAGTTTTGGCCAACCGCCGGTAGATCGGCATATATAGTGGTAATACCCGATTCCAGTAAATGTTGGGCCGGACCTATACCCGATACCATTAGCAACTGTGGACTGGCTATTGTACCTGAAAAAAATAAAATAATTAACTAAATTAAATATTATTATATTAATGAATAGTAAAAACAATAAATATTATTTATATTAAAAAAAATTATTATTACTAAAATCTAATTTATCAAGCAAGTTTTATTTACTAATAACAATAAGCAATTAATTTAATTTAATTAGGATATTATTAAAAGTTGATTTGATTAAATAAGTTGAATATTATTATTATTATTATTATTATTATTGTATATTAAATATAGTTAATATTATGTTTTTAAAAAAATTAATTAATTAATAATAAAGCTAATTAATCAAGCAAGCAAGTTTAATTAGCAATTAAATAAATAAGCATTTTAATTTTTTATTTTATTTACGATATTATTATTATTATTAAAAAGTTGATTTGATTAAATAAGTTAAGTTAAAAGTTAAAAATACTAAATGTTAAAAATATAGTACTTTTAGTATTTTTAACTTTTTTAACTTAATATTTTAATCAAATCAACTTTTTTAAATAATAATATCGTAAATAACAAAAATAATAAATTGCTTATTTATTTAAATTGCTAAATAAACTTGCTTGCTTGATTAATTAAGTTTTATTATTATTATTTTTTTAGTTAAACATAATATTTACTATATTCAAAATATACAATAAATAATTATACTAATAATTAATTAAATATATATATATATATTTAATTATTATTAGTATAATTACAACAATCAATCAAACAAACAGTCAAACACAGTATAAAAACAGTTTAGTTGTATTACCTGCCGATACTATGACTTCACGTTTAGCCCGTACCTGATGTTTGCGATTATACTTAATAAACTCGACTCCCTGTGCCCGGGGTATGCCATCATCATCATCACCATTACTATCGATTAGTATTTTAGATACCTGAGCTCCGGTAACTATAGTCAATTGGGGACACAAACTATCACTTTCCAAATAGGCATTCAAAGTAGATGACCTGAGACCACGGGAACTGGTCATCTGTGATATGGCAAAACCTGTTTGATTTAGACCATTATAATCGGTTGATTCCAATCCCCATTCCCGGGCAGCCTGGGCTTGTTTTTGTAATATCAGATACGGTTCACCCGGTGTGGACACACCTACTGGTCCCTGTCGTCCGTGATACTGATCGCTTAGCCGGTGGTCGGTATTGTTTTCCATTAGTTTAAATACTGGCAAAACACTTGCGTAATCCCAACCAATGGCACCGTATTTTGAGGCAATCATATCATAGTATTTAGGATTACCTCTAAAACCAACCAAACAAACAAAAAACACTTCAGTTTTTATATACAGTAAATATATTTTTAAATAATAATAATAATATAATTAAGTTTGAAAATTATTTTTTAAATTCAATAAAAATAATACTTTTCCCATTAATACCAATGGTTTGTAAATATTTTAAATATTAATATATTATTTTTAATAATATATTTACAGCATTTAAAAAATATATAATTAATATATATATTATTATTAAATTTATGACAAACATAATATTTTTCCCATTAATTCCCAAATGGTCTATAAATACTTGAAATATTAATATATTATTATTATTAATAATAATATATTTAAATAAAAACATTAGATATAATGTAAATATTAATTTTTTTTGCAATATATACTGTATATTGTATATTGATACAAAAATAATTAATTAAAAAATAAATAATTAAATTATAATACCTATTATATATCATATAATTAACTTGTGAGGTACCACCTAATACATGACCTTTGGCCTCAATTTCCCGACCATCCCCATTAATCGAGTGTCCAGTATATTGCTGACGGGTTTGCTTATAAAACCAATAGCTTTCCTGGCGTACAGATTGTCCGCAAAGGGCCGGTATGTCATCAAATTGGGCATCGGGTGGTCCGCCAGCTTCCAGTAGCAGTACATCCCAACCCCATTGGCTTAAACGACACGAGACAATAGCACCGGCACTCCCAGCGCCGACTACTATATAATCGTATTGGGGTTTCGGTGGTAGTGGTGTACGATTGGACAGTTGGTTGTGCTGGAGCTGCCTGTCCTTGAGTATAGTGTAGACCATATACATTTTAACAAGTATAGTTAGCGAGTACATTTTTGTTTTGAAAAATTTAAATAATAATAATAATAAATAACTTATTTTTTTTAAAAAAATATTAAATAATAATTTACAATAATAATATTGTTTGTTGTTGTATATATGTATATATATTTATTTATTAATTTTAAATATAATATAAAATTTTAATTAAGCTATAATATAATATTTATTTATTTATTTTTTTTTTTGCAATCTAACTATTTATAAATAATTCAAAATATTTTAAAAATTTAATTTCTATTGAATGACTCGGTATATATATATACTGTATTTTGTATTTTTATGTTTGTAGGTAACTGTTTGATAAAAAATCATTTAATAATGTCAATTGAAATAATTTATATAAAACATATTATTTTGTTGTAAATAATTTTTTTGATTTTTTTAAAATTTTTATTTAATGTAAATATAATACTAATTATTAGCAGCTATTATATGAGGGGTTATTACCAAATTTTAATCAACAAATAAAAAAATTTATTAGTAGAAAAATTTTTTTTTAATAATTTTATTGAAAAAATACAACTTTTATCATTTAATATTGTTTCTTAAAAAAATAAAAAATTAAGTTAATTAAAAAAATAAATAATAATATTTCATTTGTATGTTTTGTTAATTTGAAAAATTTTTAAACTTTTAATATATATTTTAATAATCTCTCTCTCTCTATCTCTCTCTCTGTCTCTGTCTCTCTCATCTATTTAATTGTTAATTTATTAATAATTAAATAATTGTTATTCATAAAAACAATGTATAATAAAGTGTTTATTTTTCAATATCTAAATGACTGATATAAAATAAATATGTGAAAAAAATATTGTTAAACAATATATATAAAATAATCCATTAATATATATATATAAAATAATCCATTAATATATATATAAAATAATCCATTAATATATATATATAAATACTTTTCAATGATAAAATCATATAATGTTTATAGAAAATAAATATTATTTAAATAAATTTTTTAAATAAATAGTTTTAAAAACTATATAATACTTGAAAAAATAATATCAAATTTAACAAATTTAATAATTAGATATTATTTTATAGGCAAACATGCATTTTGTTGATAATTTTAGTAAAAAAAGTAACTTAAAACTTATATAATATGTATTATTAATGTTTATATATTTTTAAAACTATATATTATATATAACACTTAGTTATATAAAATAGTTATTAGAAATATTATAGAAATTATTATAAATATTAAATTTTTTTAAATATGTTTATTATTTTATAATGAGATTAGGAAATGATTTTTTTAAAAAATATAATAAAAATTATTTATATAAATTTTAATACATAAAAAATTTAATGTTAAAATAAATCAAAATATATTTATATTGATATTAGTATTATTATATTTATAAGGAAAAATAAAATTGTTTTTTAATTTATAATATATAATATTATTGTAACATTATATTAAGTTTGAAAAAAATATTTTCAAAATAAAATCAAAAAATAATATTTTTAAATATATATAAATATTTCAAAAAAATTAATATACAAATGTTTAAGCAATCATTATTTTTTATAAAAAAAAATTATTACAAACTAATTATTATTAAGTAAATAGTAAAAAAGTATTTGAAGATAAAATACATTAAAAAATATTTGTATTATTTTTTTTGAAAAAATACATTTAATTACTATTTAATAATTATTTTTATTATAAATCTTAAAAATGTTTTTTTATAAATTAATAATTACATATCTTTCATGAAAAAATTTGTAATTAAAAAATTACTAAAATATGTTTTCGGCAACAATAACAACCTGATGTTTGTTACCGACAATCAAGATATCGTCTACGGTATGGGACCGTCAAAATCCCAGGCAAACCGTAATCAACTTAAACTGGTAATCAATGGTTACGGTATTGTTATCTGTTTGGCGGCCGATAACCGTTTGCTAGTATTTATTGTCAACCAATCAACAGTTTAAAGTAATTTAATTATATATATATATATATATATATATATAATATATAATAATCTATAGTTTATAAAATATTTAGATAATAATTAGAAATTAAAAATGAAATTACTTATAAAAATTTTAGATTAATAATAAAAAATATCAATTATTTAATAAACTTTTTTTGTGTGTAAATCTATTGTTTTTTTTCTTATATTTAACTAAATGATTATTTATGTGCTTAAAAATTATAATACAAAATAAATATTATATAAATAAATAAAATGTTAAATTGATGTAATAATTTTTATTTTTAAAAAATATATGTTATAAATAATTTTTCATAAAGTTATTAATGTTTAAAATATTAATAGTGATTATTCTATGTATTTAATATTTTTAATATTTTTTAAAATATTTACTATTTACTAATATTTTTTTTGTACTATAAATTTTTATTAGATTATTAGAAATATTATTAACCTTGCTGAAAAAAATTATTATGTTTTTAAAAAATATTTTTTATGCTAATAATTATAATTTTATTATTATTATTATTAGTTGTGAAATAATAAGTTTAATGCACAACTAAAAAATGTTTTTATTATTTATGAATATTTGAATATATATATATATAATATTTGTATTATTTTCAAATATAATAAATAATATTATTTTACTAAATGTTGCAAAATTTATATTTAATTGCATTATTGCCTAAAACAAAAATTTCAAAAAATTAAAAATGTAATAAAATTCAATAAACTAGTTAAGTTTATAGTTAAATAAACCAATATTAAAGTCAATGAATATTATATTATAATTATTGTCTATTAATGATTAATTAATTATTAAATTAATTAATTAAAATTGTTAACATGTTTATAACAAATAAAACTAATAATAATAATAATAATACTAATATTTTTTTGTATATAAAAACTTATATAACTTTATGAATTGGTTATACTTATAGTTAATATTGAAATACTTAAGATTATTATTATTTTATATACATTTTATATATGTTTAATAACTAAAGCAATCAAACAGCTATAGCTAAATAAATATATAGATTTTATAATAAAAAAAATAAATTTAAATATTGATTATTAAATAAATATATTAAATTAAAATATAATTAATATTTTTTTTAAAAGTATTAATAATCATATATATTATGAATTTCAGTATAACATTAAGTGTTATACTAACTATTATTAATTGTAAGTATCCATTAAATTAGTTATTATTAGTTAGTTATAAAAAATTAATAATTATTATATTTTATATATAAATATATATATATATATAGTTTACTATACTATTGGCGATAATAAATGTTTGGACGGTTGGGACGCATACGATGATCAACTAAAATGTTTGAAAATATTAAACGATTCATTGGAAACATTTGGCAATGCTATGGATATGTGTACGAAGTTGGCTCCGGGAGGATCAACATTGTTGACAATACATTCACCCGGTGAACAGGCCTACATAACCGACTATCTATTCAACCGAAATAAACTAGTTGATTCAATATGGTTAGGTGCCTGGATCAATCAGCCCCAACAACAATTAACCTGGTTAGATAATACAAATGTTACCTATACTAACTGGTTAGAGGGTAGACCTAAAAATAATACTAGCCAAGTTGAATGTGTGGAAATGTTAGGTATAGATATAGGTAGTATAGAGGAACTGGAAGGTAAATGGTTAGATACTGTATGTACAAAACGTAACCAGGTAGTTTGTCAACTAGTACAAACGTTACCTGTAAATGATCTAGTTAAATTAATATTATCTAGTAGAAATTATCAGGAACAATTAGATAAAAAACTATCAAAATTAGCTAGCTCATATATGAAGCTAGTTGCTAATCCCGTTCCCCTGGGATTTATATATACACAACTATCGGGTCAACCCGAACCCAGTCAACTGTGGCCAGGGGTTAACTGGTTAGATGTTACCCGTGATTATTCGGGATTGTTTTTCCGGGCCGAAGGTTCGGGTTCCGAACCGTTTGGTCAGATACAGGCGGCTAACTGGTCCCGATTGGCCACTGTTAGTACAGTTAGCAGCTATCAAACAACTGACCAGTTTGCTGGTTATGATAGTTGCCAACTAACCGATTTACCAGTAAACGGTTGGACCGATAATATTAATAATAATAATTATGGTTTTATTAGTCAAATGCAACTATATTTTACTTCAACGGATAATAGGCCACGAAATCAAGCCATTAGACTATTTAAACGCATTTGAATTCAATTGAATTGAATAAATCAATCATACAATTAATATTTTTATAATTGATTTATTTATCTAAAATTTAGTGTATATTTAATTTATGTATTTTAATGATTTCAAAAAAAAATTGTTTTACACAAAATTATTTTTCTAAAATAAAATTATATTTATATTATATAATTTTATTATATAAATGTTTATACTATTTTTATTATTGTATTTTTAAAAAAGTAAATATTAAATAAAAAAATTTTACAAGTTATTTAAATACTTGTTTTAAAAATAGAAATTACTAAACAGTTTTGAATTAAATAAATGATTAATTCAAACAAAGAAAAACATAATCATAACAACTATATATATATATATATATCTATATATTTTATACAAAATAAAAATATTAATTGTATTTTTTTGTTGTTGTAATTATTATTAATATATACACACATATATATATACAATTTATATAAATAATTTAATTACTTTTTAATTTTGTTGTTTTTTTCTAATTAATTATTTTCAATTCTCTAAATGCGTTTAAATAGTCTGATGGCCTGATTTCGGGGCCTATTATCCGTTGAAGTAAAATATAAGGACATATGATCGGCAAAATAGCCGCCATTAATATCATCGGTCCAACCGGTAACGGGTAAATCGGCTAAACGTGTACCAATCTCCTTTCCAGTCAAATAATATCCATAAGTACTAACACTGGCCAAATCGGGACCAGTTAGCCGACTGTATCTGACCAAACGTTAGGGAACCGGAACCTTCGGCCC